ACCTGCTTTGGCAGGGGGGTTGGACTGGATGATCTCCTGAGGTCCCTTCCAACCCCACCATGCTGTCATTCTGTGATTTCTAGCTGAGGCCCTGGGCAGAAGAACATTAGCTGAGCTGCTTTTGAGTTTCTCCTGTTCTGTTGTCATCCAAGAGATAGAACAAAACCCCAGTGTAATTTTTTTGGTAGCCTAAAGCCTCTAATGAAAATGAATTTTGAAAATACATCATGTGACGTAGCTGTTAAACCTCCTCATGAGAATCTGCCTTTGTTTTTCAGGGAAGAAGAATTTTCTCCCACCTTCATATCTGATGATGGGCTTTAGCTTCTTGTTTAAGGTACTGCTTTCTCTGTGCAGCTCCTGCTGGCTTTTGTAATTTGGTTTGAGCTGTAGGAGGCTTATTTTCTGCTTCTTCCTTATCAGTATATTCCCAATTACTTCTTTTCCCACTGGGACAAATCCCATAAAATGCTACTGACTGAAAATTACTCTGTTTCATTTCCATTTTCCCCCAGTTTGCACTGTCTTCATTTAAAACAAACAGACACTGGGAACATTACTACCTCTGCTAGATTTTTATACCAGCTCTGTTTGAAGCATGTGCAGGTTTCAGGAGTCTGCTGGTTGTGCAGCTACGTGTGTCTCCTCACCAGCTCTACTTCCTAGGTTGTCTAGACTTGGGTTTAAATGTGCTGCTTTAGCTTTCTTGCCTTTTGAATGGCAGAATAAAGAATAAAGCTGAGTCAGGTGTTCTCAGAATGGGCTAGTGAACATCACTGGAGCTGGTAGTGGCCTAATGTAAAGGCACCTCTGTTGTTAGGTGGATGAAAGCTGTGTTTGGAGACACCGAGAAGAAAGGAAGATCAAAGTACAGGATGAGGACCTGGAAACCGTTTCCAGCAATACCAGTGAACTGGTGTCTGAAGATGTGGAGCTATTAGGTACAGTGGATGTGATTTGGGGTGCTGTGTGCATGGCTGGTAGACAGGACTGGAACAGGTTGGCCAGAGAAGCTGTGGCTGCTCCTCCCTGGAAGTGTTCTCGGCCAGGCTGGATGAGGCTTTGAGCAACCTGGTCTAGTGGAAGGTGTCCCTGCTGCTGGCAGGGGGGTTGGAGCTGGATGAGCTTTAAGGTCCCTTCCAATCCAAACCATTCTGGGACTCTGCAACTGTTTGGGGTTTGGTGTTTTGTTTCCTGCACTGTGTTATGGGTCAGTTTGGTGTTTCTCATGTGAACTGTGTTTTCCTCCCAGAAGGAGGAGATAGCAGCAGCGAAGAGGAAAAAGCAGAGTGTCAGGAAACACCAGAGGGTGTGGAAGCCGTGTCCGAGAGTCATCGTGACGAGGGCATTGCTGACCTTGACCAGGGCAGGGTCAACACAACTCCTGCACCAGAGGGTGACTCTGAAGAGGATGATGGAGAATCTGAAGATGAAGTGGAACATCCAGAGTCAAAGAGTGAAGTGAAGGAGGAAGAGGTAAATTACCCGGATACAACAATCGACCTGTCGCATCTGCAGTCTCAAAGGTGAGTGAAGAAGCAGCTGCATTTATCAGCGATATGGGCGCTTCTGAGGATCTCCATCCTGTTAAAATGCTGCCAAGACAAGGGCTGTGATCAGTTGCTGTTTCTTCTTTCGATGCTCAGCTCTGCAGGCTGGCAGAGTGCAGGGCAGGGAGCCAAAAAACTGCCACGCTCTGTCCCGTTCCCTGCTGCTTCCCTGCGCTGCTCTTCCTTTAAACCCCACTGCTGGGGCGCACACACAGCTGCCCCTTCCCTCCACGGGGGTGTCTGGCTCCTCAATTGCTGTTATTCCCTATTTTGGCCCCAGCAGCCCTGACCACCACACACTGATTTTGCTCATCAGGAGATGGCTGCTCTCATTTTCTTTTCAGAGCTGTTGAGACCTGACAAACTGAGTCATGAGTTGTTTCTCCTTTGCCAAGCTGGTGCTGAGTTACCTCTCTGCATGTGGCTGCGAGATGAGCTCATCTCCCTGTTGTCCCTGGAAATGACTCTGCTTAGAGATGGGATTGAGTGGGTGGAAACACACAGCTCTGCAGGGAGTCCCACAGCTGAGCAGGGCTGCGTGCACGGGAAGCTGAACATCAGGGGTTCTTGTAGCGCGTACTCTCCCCAGGCTGTCGTCGTTGCTTGTTTGTTGTGTGTGCATGAGACAGGCTGGCAGAGAAATGACTTGTTTTATAAACTGAATCCTGGTTTTGTTGCCCTTTTCCATCCCCAAAGCTGGGATTTTTCAAGAACTAGAAAGTGAAAAGGGGTGCAACCAAGTTAGCCGACGTCTGGGTTATGGTGATGCGTGCGCGGTTGAGTTGCTCTTCATCCGTTGATGAGCTCCATTTTGTTCTCCCCACAGATCCCTGCAGAAAATCATCCCCAAAGAGGAAGAACCCAACTTGGTAAGGTCCCAGCTCAGATGTTTGGCAAAGAGCAGTGTGAACTGTTGCTGGACATGATGTGATCTAACTGCGTTTCACTTCTTAGAGTGACAGCAAGTCCCAGGGGCGAAGGCATCTGTCTGCCAAGGAGAGGAGGTGAGAACGTCTTTGTGTTGACCGTGAGGTGAATGCCTCCACCTTCCTGTGTGATCTCATTGAGGTTCCTGCTCTGGCAGGGGGGTTGGACTGGATGATCTTTTGAGGTCCCTTCCAATCCCCAACATTCTGTGATTCTGTGTGACCTGGGTGCAGGAGCATGTCTTGCACCTCCCAGTCTAGGCTGGTCCATGCCCATTGTCTGTCCTGCATTTCCAGTGTGGGCCCTGCCTGTGGGATGGTGGCTGCTCCTGTCCTTCAGGAGTGAACAGTTTGTTGTGTACGGGTGGGATCAAGAGGGTTTTCCTGAGGAGGGGTTATTTCCAGTGTATGTGCCTCAGGTTCCACTGTAGCCCCGTGGCAGGGAAACAGGGTGGTAATGCTGGCAGGAGAGCAGCAGCCTCTCTTGTGGCAACACGAAGCAGTGTGTCAAGTGATTGTTTTCCTTAGAGAAATGAAGAAAAAGAAGCAGCAAAATGATTCTGAGAACTTGGAGCCGCCCGAAGAGAAGCAGAGAGAGATGGAGACACAGCTTCCCCCAGCCCCCAACACCAATAAAAGTGTGGCAGCCCCTCAGCCCATCAAGCGGGGCCAGAAGGTTGGTGTGGCCCTGGGTTACCCTTGGGTTGAGATGTTCCCTTGGTAAATATGGACAGAAGCACCAGGTTTCTGTCAGACATCCATGGCTGCCTGATCGTTCTAGATCGTTCTAGACTCTTGGTGGTTTCAGGATGATGGTGCTGGTCTGTCAGCACTGAGCACGCTGTGCTTCCCTCACTGGAACCACAGTCTCTTGGTTACTGGTGAACTGCTCTGAAAGGGGTTTAGGAGACCTGGAAGGAGAGTAAAGTGCACATGAGGTCAACATCTGGGTGTTTGTGGATGCAGAACTCTGCAAAAGTTCCTGTTTCTGAACCTGTTGGTGTGTTTTCTTCCGCAGAGTAAGATGAAGAAGATGAAGGAGAAGTACAAGGACCAGGACGAGGAGGACCGGGAGCTCATCATGAAGCTGCTGGGGGTGAGTGAGGGAAGTTCTGTCTCCCACTGTGGCATGGTCTCTTGTGTTGCTGGCTCTGACCACCTCTGTGTGTAACCACAGTCTGCAGGGTCAAACAAGGAGGAGAAAGGGAAAAAAGGGAAAAAGGGGAAGACAAAAGAAGAGACAGCAAAGAAGCAACAGCAGAAACCCAAGGCTGTGCATCGTGGAGCTGGAGGGGGCAAGGAGATGCTCCTGCTGCACGACTCACAGGACCCAGCCCTGGAGGAGCAGCAGGATGAGAAGGTGAGCAGCACACTCACCTCTCCTCTCCTGTCCATGCATCTGTCCCTCCTCTATCGTGGCTCTCCTGGCACTGTGTAGCTCTTGTTGGTTTTGGGGCACTGTGGAGAACAGTGTGTCTGCTGAGGAGTGGCTGAGGGAACTGGGGGTGTTGAGCCTGGAGAAAAGGAGGCTGAGGGGAGACCTTGTGGCTCTGTGCAAGTCCCTTGGAGGAGGGTGGAGAGAGGTGGGGGTGGGTCTGTTCAACCAAGGCCCAAGGGACAGGACAAGAGGAAATGGGCTCCAGTTGTGCCCAGGGCAGTTGAGATGGGATGTGAGGAAGAATTTCTTTGCTGCAAGGGTTCTGAGGCATTGGAAGGGGTTGCCCAGGGCAGTGGTGGAGTCCCCATCCCTGGAGGGATTGAAGAGTCGTGTAGACACAGTGCTGAGGGACATGGGTTAGTCATAGGGGACTGGTCAGTGTTGGGTTCATGAATAGCAGCAAAGCCCCCTGCAGTGATGTGTGCACACGCTGCAGGAACAAGGGCTCGGAGGAGTCCTGAGCCCCACCAGGCTGCCGAGGCTCCCGTGAAGTCCCCACCTCCCACTCGCTGCAGCCGAGGTGTCACTGAGCTCTCTCCAGCTCTGCTGTTGTGAGTCAGTATCACAGCCCATCTCTCTCCTCCCAGCTGGGCACGTGCCAAGCAAATTAGAGTTTTGAAAGAAATATTCCTCCTCCCACCCACATAAAAGTGCTGCTCTTCTTCTTACCTTCGCTTTAACATAAATCACATTCTCTCTGCAGTGAAAATGCAGCTTTCTGTGTACTGCTGAGAGAATAATTTATTTTCTGCAGGGGCTGGGGGAGAAAAAAAGCAGTGCTGTGTGCTCATTTCAGCTCTGACCTGTCCTTTGTTTGTGTGTGCAGGAGGAGCAGGACCAGGACCAGCCGGGCGTTGAGGTAAATATTGATCTTTGAAGCTCTGGTCAGTGCTGAGGACGCAGCTTTATTCCTGCCTGAAGCTGGTGGGTCCCCAGGAGCAGGACCAGGGACACAGTGGGGCTGGGTCATGTGTGGCCCCTCCAGGACATGGCTCGGCTGTTCAAGTCCCTTCTTGCTGTGGCTGTTTGAACTCAGCTTTTTTGTATTTTGAAGAAACCATAACCTCTTTTTTTCCTCCTGCCCTGCTGATCATGTACATCCCCTGTAGAAACTAGGGGCTGGCTAAACTGAAGCTTATCCCTTGCCTTTGGCTCTGGAGGTGTTTGCACCCCCAGGAACAGTGGCTCTGGGGTGGAGGATGGCACAGTACGATGCAGTGCAAGCTGCTCTTTAATTTAGAAATTTATTCACATATCAAATGGCTTCAAATGTTTCTATAACTATAGAAAAAAACATTTTTCT